AAGTGGTAGCATAGGTACTGTATAGGCATAGGTACAAGCTAGTATTAGTATGTAAGAAAAATATATAAGCCTACTAAAAATAAGCTATTCGTTGGCCTCATGTTAAGGAGAAACAAAAATATATTTTAACTGTTCTAAAGGACGGACCATTTTGGATATACCAGTAATTTGAAGATATTTTCCAGAGCAAGATGTAGTAAAAAGGAGGATAAAAATAAAAGTTAAAGTTAAACAACTAGCTTCTAAAGGTGATGTTACCTAATTGTGTTTCCTGTCTTCATTCTCACCCACTGAGGAATAGGTCTGTTCTGCTTCATTTTGCGTGCCAATTTGCTTTTTGTACGGAAAGACTTATGAGCACCCTGAAATAAAAAAGTTGACATCACTTAAAAGAAATATGAAACCTTTAACAATTATTTGAATTACAATAACTCTTAAGCCTATTATTTAAATTATTTCTTGGGGCTCTGTCAGTACTAATACATTTACTTTTATATACCACAAGGTAGGGGTGTGCCGGATCCGTTTTTTCTTATGCGAAATCCGCCGGATCCGGATTCCGGTTTCTCCCGGATTTTGGTACTATTGGTAGATACTTCGGTAAGTCAAGGTGGACTACTACTTTTTGTGTATGGGAATTCGCAATCGGCGCCAAAAAATCCGAGTTTTTAATTTTCCGATGTGTGTGTCTATTTATTATTAAATTAGTACTTTCGATATATATTTGAGTTCCGTTCCATTTGGATAAGTGTCTTACGAGAGACGCCATGTTTCTACGCGTTCGCAGCAGGTTATGCAGCTCGCTCAACCTAATTTCGCCATGGGGTTGGCCACGCCCCCCTTTTTAATGGCGGAAGTTGACGATACTTAGGAAATATTAATTTATTATCACTATTTACATCAAAATAATTGATAACTTGTGTTTCAGAATGCATTTAAAGACATTTAAACTGGAATGTTTTAATTTGAGCTTTAACAACCCGGTAGAATCCATATTATAAATGATCAGAATTTACCGTGTGCAACACGTTGTCATTGGCAACCATTCACAGCCACTTGCATAACTGTATCGTAGTACTACCTCAGAGTTTCATTCATAAGAGTTTGCCGTGTGCAAAAACTATTAAACCATTGGCCAGGGAAAGCTTTAATTAATTATTCATGTGCCAAAGTTGAAAGTTTAAACTAAGTCTAAACAGTATTTTAGTGATAAGGCAGGGAATGCGTTGCCTTATATAAACTATATAGTCATTGCGCATAACGGGATTGGTGGAATGAGATCACAGAATGTGGAGATGCAGTCCATGTTAAAAATGACAAACCAAGTCGTACTTTAAAAATTCATAACTTTAAAACTACAACAGCTAAAAATATGATTTTGGTGTTATAATTCTTTAAAAAATTACATCTTTTCAACTATGCCATTGGTTTATTTTTACAAAAAGTTTAAATTTTCTTATCAAAGTCCCTACACTATTGGCCACTATTAGCGGTGCTGACTCTAGCCTCTGGTATGTACGGAATATTAAACATTAAACAAGCTCAACGCACGAAACAATCGATTAATGTATCGTGATCGTGTGAAATTCCGGAAAGAGAATTACTTTTATTTCAGATTATGATCCGGTGAGTCACAAAATCTGGCAAATTCCGAAATCCGGTATATTCCGGAATCCGGATACATGTAAATCCGGCGGAATCGGATTTCACCGCATAGTGCAAAATCCGGATTCCGGCACACCCCTACCACAAGGCCTATGGTAAGTCGTGACGTCATATATTAATAATTTACTACATTCTTAAATTAAAATGTAAATAGTTAATAAGGACTTAGATCTAGGGTGAATCTCTGTGAGACTGGTATAGCAGAATATCAAGTTTGAAGGGTTAAACATAATATTTCACAGGCTATTGAGGAAATTTTGCTAGTTTTAGACTTGTCCTAGTATATTGATGGGCCAACTCAGTCTGATAGAATTGAATTTAAAGCATATATTTAATTAAATAATACATATGTGTATCGGTGTCCCTGTTAGTATAGGGTGACCAAATAACCCGTTTTTTTTTCACGATCATACCCGGTGTTCCGAAACATTATCTCAGGATGCCTAAATGTCCCGTTTCTAAAACCAAACATTTTCAAATCACTAAAACTTCCCAATTTATAATATAACAAGTAATGTTTTGGCTAGCTGTGGCCAGTGCAGTAGTAATGTGGGCTCATGTGGTGGCTGCACTGTTCCCCTCCACCACTCTGCAGATGCTGCGTAAACGACAGTGGCCTTGCCATACATCTTAATAATCTTATTCTTATGAATTAACTTATAGTATAGCGAAAGACACGAGACTTGGAACAGCGGTGGGACTGTTCTAGTTTTGACAACTTTATATTAGATAAGGAGGTTATAACAATGGCTAGGACCTATGCTCCCTTTAATCTGCGAGGCCGCGCAGTAATCTCACAGACGCCGCGCAGCAGTTTTGAGTACCGCGCAGCTAATTTCCACTAAGTGTGTGTTTCTGTCCGTAGGCTGTAAAATTTTGCGCACAACTTTATGATTTTGCACACGAACCAACAAACCTTTGAGGAAACATTGGCTAGGACATCAGCTAAATCCTCAATTTAAATCCTAGATTAAAGAAATTTAATTTGTTTTGGATAATTATGTTGTAAAATATGTATAAATAAATAAGTATTCACATGATATGCCTAAGAGTTTAAATTAAATTACAAAAGTGAAGGTAAATTTAAAAAGATTTCTAGATCTAAAAAAATGAGCATATTTTAATAAACAGTTTCTGGCGGAGGCCCCTGGACCCCTCTTTAGCTGGAGCCAGGAAGGTATCCCCCCCCCCCCCAAACCCCCCTTGGGCGGGCCCCGTTTTTTCCATTTCATGCTTTGCCCCCCCT